TATTTTCCATTTACAATACCCCAGTGTCCTTTCACTTCAGAGAAGGACCAAAAAGCTACAAACTTTTTCATACTATTAGTAATTCACTGATGTATTTACTTTACATACTTTGACTTTTGATACGCTTTACATAATCCGAGCTTTATCAAAAACAACCCCTCTCTTTACCTTCTTGAAGTAGGGTAATACCGCGTACACACCATCCTCCACAGACCCAAGTTTGGGATTACACTACCAACAAGGGTTGTGGTGGAACTCCTTCATTCTTAACCAAGAGGTCTCGGGTACCCCAAATTGTACACACCAAAATCAAATCAAAGTAAAAGAACAAACTATGCAAATAAATTTACCAGAGCGGGCTTTTGGGGGTGCGAAGCATCAGCAAGAAGGTAAGTATAGGTAGATGATTCCTTCTCAAAGAGCTGACGGAAAACAAGTTTAGGGCTATTTTGAGCAGAAGACGACGTCGTAGAATACGAACCCATTTGAGCACAGCTGATAGAAGTGTGGGGTTTGAACGACTGAATAAAAGGGGCTTCGAACGGTGATGTGAACAATTGAATACATCGGAATCTCAGCATTCTCTTGTTTTGCTTCCGATTATCTCTATATTTGTTTCCGTATTTTACAAGTATAGAGTGACGTCAATGGAATGCAACTTTCCAATTGGCGATGGTTTTCGCAGTGTACTGGCCTCCATTGTCAGCAAGCTTAAAGCTTAATCATTGCTGAGCTCCGACTAAATTCGAATTGCGTTCTGTAGGACCCATTTGGGGTGATGGCGCTCCCAACAAGATTTTTTCCATATTCAAGCTAGAACCCGAGACTTCTAGTTAAGGATGAAACACGCACCAGTGCACCACAACTCATGTTGATAGCTTAATCATTGTTAATGAATCTGAAAATCAATTACTTTGGGATATACGCCTAATTGGGCTAATTTGGATTCGCACTCAAAAAGCTAAAAATTAATAATACTAATACTAATAAGTGAAAATTTCATATATGACATATATTACTCTAATATTTTCAAGTTATAGCACTAGAATTAAACTTTCAAGTTGTAACAGTTTCTTAAAAAAAAAAGCTTTTTAAAAATAATTGTAAAAAATTGTTTTGAAAAAAAAAAACATAAAAAAATCGTTTCTGAAAAAAAAAAGGTAAAAAAAGGGAAATTAGTGTGTTAGTTAAATTTGAATTGATTGAAGATAATTACTAATTAGCATAAATTAAGGAAATTCAAACTAATTAAAAATATTTAGTTTCCTTATTTCACTCTAATTTGTTAAAATTAATTAAAAATTCTGATTTCATCCATTTTCTTCCACGTTTCTCTCTCTTAGATTTTTTTCCAGAAATCTTGTCACTCTCATCTAATTCATATTCGTTTTTATTCAATAATCTTTATTTTATGGACGGCTTCTTATTAGTATTAATAAAACATGGTGGTAGATGGGATCCTTCAGGTTAGTGTTCTTTGCGATTTTTTATTTGTATTGTAATACAAACCAAACGTTCAAAAAAATTATGAACAATGATTCTGGAAAAAAAAATATTCAAATTTTGTTTGTGAATAATAGTTTTAATTATGGAGTTTTTGGTATGAATATTCACTTTTGAAATTACATAAAATTTGCTTGAAATTGGTATAGATTTTGTTTGAACATTCATTTTTTTGTATGTTTCTGGTTAAAAAATTACATAAAATTTATTTGAATTTGGTATATTGGTTATACCATGTTGGTACGATTTTAGAATTATATTTGAATAAATTTCGTATATTGTTTGTCTAATAAATGACAATTAATAGTTAAAAGTGGTATTATAGTGTCATGATTCTGCTGTGAAAAAGTGATGACTTATGTAATGAAATAGGTATAATTTTGGCATGAAATAGGCATGACAAATGTGCATAATAATTATATGAAATTTGTATACTGATTTCAGATTTTTTTGTTGTGAATAATAACTTGTAGGGAGACCACAAGTTGTAAATGGTTTGCTGATGTGAAATTCAAGAGGTCTAAGATTATGTGCAGTACATGTTGTCGGGAGGAACACAATAGGAAGACATGTTCAAATTACCCTTCTGAAAAAAAGACATAATTTTTTTTTTTTTGATTTAGTTGTTTTATTGTGGCAAACTCATGTTTTGATTTATTTTGTCTTTTAAGTTAATGAATTATAATTTCAAAATATTTATTATGTGTGCTAGTTAATCATTTGTGTATTCAGTGTTTTTCAAATGTATACTCAAAAAATAGGTAATGTTGGTATGCAATTGATATTGACCGGAAAAATTAAGTTAAATCTTAGTATGAAATTGGTATACATTTGGTATCCAACTGACGTCCCAGTGGTAAAATTGAAAAAAAAAACATGTAATTGAGATTTCAACTGAAATAGCCAACGTAAAACTAGCTAATATTGTATCCAATTTGTATAAATTTAGTATTGAATTGATATCCCATTGGAAAATTGAAAAATCAACTTGTGGTTGAGATTTCAATCAAATTAGACAACCTAAACAAGTTAATATTGTATTCAATTGATATCCAACAGATATCCCACTTGAAAATGAAAAAAAAAACCAAAATGTAACTGATATTTCAACCAAATTAGACAATCTAAAACAAGTTAATATTTTATCCAATTTATATACACTTGGTATCCAACTTGAAATTTTAGAACAAAGACAAAAAATAAAAATGTATAAAATTAGTATCCAACGGGTATAAATCCGAGAAGAATAAATCCGGGAAGAATGAATTTTGAGAATAATAATGTAATAAATTCTTAATTCTAAAAAAATCAGATTAAAAAAAAAAACAATATCAAAATTTAAAATAAAAAAAATATCAAGAAAAGCAAAAAAAAAAATAGATTAAAGAGAGAGAAAATTACATGTTAAAATATACGGTGATAATTTTTTTAAAAAAAAAATAATTAAAGGCCCCAATAGTCATTATAAATAAAAGTTATTTGAATAAGTTAAAAAAATCCCTTAAAAGGTGTAATAGATAATTACAAATTGATTCCCTCTCATTAATATTATTTCTCTCACCTATTAATTATATAAAAGGAACTGCAATCAATACAATTAAATAATTAATAATATAAAAATATAAAAAGATTAATCATTTAATAAAGTAAAATTTAATTGATTTTTAAATAAAGTTAAATTTAATTGATATGTTATAACCCGTAATTAAACTGTTATAAGTAAAAAAAATTTAAGAATTGCTTTAAAACTCGTAATATTGTCTCTTAAATGTGTATATGGTGTGATTTTTCCTACTAATAATCATATTCAGGGCTCTAACTTGTGCACCGGGTGAAAGTGTTTCACTATTTGTCCACTTTGAATTTATGAAATTATAATATAAATTTCATTTTAATATTTATACTAGTATTATTTGAGTTATCATATCATAATTCATATTTATGATTTGTTTTATTCCTAAAAAAATGGTGTTTTATTTCAGGGCCGACTTTTTTACTAACATGTTCTAATCCAAGAAATTGCAAGACATAAAATATCATATAGTATGGTTTTGAACTTTTATCTGGCTTAATTTATATTTTTTTTACATAATCTCAACTTTCAAAAAAATATTGAACAAATTCTTTATAAATTGTCTTTCGGATATCAATCCTAATTATATATGCGAACTTTCAATAAGTAACGTATCGTATAAATTATAATAATGCAATGTGTTGTTTATTGAACAGAACTTTCAATTGCATTAACTAACTTGATTTTTTATATAAGATACTGATTGTTTAATTATGATATAATTTAATTATTATTTAATAATAATTAACTAGTATATACTTTTCAAATGAGCAACACAAGAAATTTGACGTATGAGGTTGAAATTTGTAGCCAATTAGAGACTCACTGGGAAATCATATCAAGACAAAAAAGCTTAGCAAAGGGTTTGTTTAATTAATTAATTAATTAATTTTAAGAAAAAACGATAACGAAAGCTCAAGAGAGACGTAGGTGGAATGGAGACTCAAATCTCCAATCAACTATTTAATTTAATTTACTAAGTACTACATTAGGAATACATAAATATTGTTATCTATCTGAGTTGTGTATCCTTAATCAGAGATCAGCCTTGGGTATGAAGAAAATTTTGTTGTGAGCGACATCTCCGATTAGGTCCTATAATGTGTAATCCAAATTTAATCGAAGCTCCAATATGAACTCTAGAGTCCAGACACAAGTGGGAAAGACAATAAAATTGTTAAAGACAAAAGATTAGGTGGGATGTAATTCTTCAGCAGTTTCCTGCTATTATAAGAAATTACTATTAATTAATAATAAGATAATGAAGTTGTTTAAATAATCAATTATTAATATCAAATTATCTCACATGATTAGTTTCTACGCCGACAATAGTTTGTCCCACCAGATATTTAATCAAATGATATCAATTTCCTTGGCCTCAATCATCATTTGACTGATTCATTTTCCAATACATTTTTACTTGGATGGATTTTTTACTTCAGAAATCTTAATTTATTATAATTTTATATATATCTTAATGACCTGATGTTAGACAAAAATATTATTATATATTTATAATATGCATTATAGAAAATTAATTATGTAAGTTAAAAAAAAAAACATTGACTTCCTTTTTCAAATATGGGAGAAGGAACAAAGTGACTTTTGAGCAGAACATGCCACATAATTACAGGAATTCCATCATGTGCAGACGTGCTTTTTGTCACAAAAAAGATTACACTATTCAGTTAATTGAATATACGTTTACCTGAATAATGGCCAGACATGCAACATATTCTACCATAACTAAAAGTATATTCTTAGTTGACTAATAAAGTTATATCTTCAAAATTAATTTTACCGTAAATATAGATATTAAATATTATTAAATTAAAAGACATGTTTATATATTATGCGGGTATGTGTACGTATATTAGAAGGAACCCACAATAGGGAAATTTGTGGCAGTCAAAAAGCATGAAAAAACCAGAAGACACCAAAACACAGAGACTTTCCCAACTTGCAACTCTGATCAACTTCTCCCTTCTAACGCTCCAAAAATGAAAGTCTTTCGCCGATTTGCTTGACTACTTCGTCATCCTGAAACTTAATTACCCAATTTGAAATCTTAAACCCCATTTGAAAATCCCCAAGTCGTTTTTACGTCAGTTTCAGTACTATAGAAAGTGTACACTTCCGCGTAAAATACACTGAATGTCTTCAATACTATTGCAATTAATGGGATTCAAGTTAAATGGAGTTTTAAGTACTTAATCAGAATTTTGGGTTAAGCGTTTAGACTAGTAGCAGTGGGTCTTTGTCATTTTTTTTTATCAAGAACTGTGTATATAGAGAGAGGAAGAAGGAGTTTTGGATTTTGGGTTTGGGGGTGGATTAAAATGTCGAGTATAACGGATGCTACAATAATTCATCATGTGGGTATTGTGTTGCTTGCACTATGGTTGCTTAATTCCTTCGATTGTTGCCACCCTTTTGCGTACTTCCTATCGCTTATCTATCTCTATATGGTAAGTTGCTAAAGATTGTGTTTTTACTTCAATTTTGCACTTTTTTATGTGTTGTTTCTTTGCTGAGCTGAGGGATAAGGTTTATGTATATTCTAGACCGTCAGACGCCACTTGTGAGATTATGCGGGTGTTTTTTTTTTTTTCGTTGACTATCAAGTTTTGATGGTCTTATGCTGGTTTTTTGCTTTAATATTAAATATTTGATTTGGATTGATTATGTTCTTTAAATTTTGAAGGTTCATGAGCAGTATGTGACAAAATTAAGGAGAAAGCTACAGTTTGAGGAAAAAAGACAGTCTTGTCAGCGGCGAGTAAGCATTTTGCAGGACTTTTATTGGAACTTAGTAGTTTCATTCCCTCCTTTTTGTCTGTTGAAGTTAATATGATAGATTTGGAAACTTTGTTAGATTTGACAGGCAAAAAGAAAAGATACTGAATTGATTCTCAAAAAATGTTTTTTTTATTTGGTGATTCTCAAAAAATGTTTTTTTTTATTTGGTGATTCTCAAAGAGAAATGATACTGAGACTGCAAGAAAGCAGAAGAATATTCTAAATTTAGGAACTTTAAGATTTACCAACAGTTTTTCTGATTCTTGCAGTCACTTACAAGCTTTAAATATTGTCTATTTTTCCCTCTGTGTTCCTGTCAGACCAAAATTTTGACTTGAGTCATCATTCACTGAGATTAAGAGATAGAATAAGCAGCAATTTCCCTGCTGACTCTTTGAGTGATTTGGACTTGAGTTACTGCCTTCTTTTTTTTTTTGGTTTAAAGTGTTTTTTTTATTTTACCAGGTACTTTTAGACTCTGAATCAGTGAGATGGTTAAACTATGCGATTGAAAAGATTTGGCCTCTCTGCATGGAGGAGATTGTTTCACAGAAAATTTTGCTCGCTATCATTCCATGGTTTCTTCAGAAGTACAAACCCTGGACTGCCGTAAGTGGTTCAAAGCATGTGTACCTTCTGCTACTTAATTGCTTTCTTTCTGGATTCTATGCATCACCTTTCATTTAATGCCTCTATTTTCTATATTTTCCCTTTATTTAGTGTTCTCGAATTCTAGCAGTTCTGCTTTCATCAACATTATAGTTGTCATCCTTATGCCATAACCAGCAAATTTTTAACTTTACTCTGAAGAATTAATTTGTTTGCTGAGTTGAGTTATCAAGAGCAATTTCCCCCCCTAATGCATACAGAAAGAAGCTGTAGTTCAGCACCTCTATATGGGAAGAAGCCCACCTATGTTCACAGAAATGAGAGTTCTTCGTGAATCTACTGGAGATGATCACTTGGTATGTAGTCTTGACTCAAGAATGTTTATATATGTCAGCAGTTTGGCTTCTGCCCGCTGTGCTCTATTTGGTGAGGGTTAAATTTAAATCTATCCGTGCAGGTCCTGGAGTTGGGAATGAATTTTCGTGCTGCCGATGACATGAGTGCAATTCTTGCTGTGAAACTGAGAAAAAGGTTGGGCTTTGGGATGTGGGCGAAGTTGCATCTGTTGGGCATGCATGTTGAGGGAAAGGTGATGCACTAATGGCAATTAATATTGTGAAAATCTTCTTCTGTTGTAAAAATCTGATACTGAAAAGGGAAATGAGGTGGGGCGAGGGGGATTAGTAGTATCAGTTTAACGTTCAGTACTTATAGTTGCAGATTTTGTGAATGTCTTAACTATTAGCATCAACTCGCTCCTCTTTTAGTGAAATATTTATTGATATTATAGCTGTAGCCCTATGAGCGATCTCCCATGCTGTACTCCTCTTCTTTCAAAATTCATAACTCAGTGGCAAGTTTGTGTAGAATTAGGCATTACGCATTCAATACCACAAATATCCCATATTGTGCTCCACAGTTGGTGGGTGCATGAGTGTGCTACATGACACAAATTACCAAGTGGTTTACATTTTCTCCTGATTTCTTGCACATGAAGCACCAAATGAAATGAGCTACCCTTCTATTCCTAAATTTTCAGGTATAAGAATGTCTTCCCGTGCTGCTAGCCAAGCAAACTAGCACACTTATTTTTAGGTGTTCTAGGCGCACACATGGCATACGAAGGACTGAGGAAACTTATGACTATCATAGAGAATTCTATGTTCAGTGTTGATAGTATAGCCATTGAATATAGTTATTCTCCTCTCAATTCTATTGTTCCCTTGTATTGTTTGATGACCAGATTTTAATTCCTAAAATAATATGTTTAGAGGTATCGCTGTTCCATGTAGGTCTTGGTTGGGGTAAAGTTCTTAAGGAAGTGGCCATTTCTCGGTCGTTTGCGGGTTTGCTTTGTGGAGCCTCCTTATTTTCAGATGACTGTGAAGCCAATTTTCACACGTGGACTTGATGTAACAGAACTTCCTGGAATTGCAGGATGGATGGTTAGTTCAATGAGTATCTCTGTCTTGTCTAACATTGAATTGACATATGTACAATCTTCCTAAGATTTGCTTGTCATCTTTATCAGGATAAACTTCTTGCTGTTGCCTTTGAGCAGACACTTGTCGAGGTGCGGTTCGTTCAGATTTGAGTCCGTCTTCTGTTTAATGTTATACCCCTAATATACTTGTGGTAGAAGCATATTTTAGACTTTGATGTGCTTAAGAATGGCAACCTAAGTGGCTCGGACTCTTACTTTTGGTGCCGCACCCATGTCAACACAATGTGGATGCGGGTGGGATCCGTACCATATTTGATGAACCGATTTTGGGTACTTTGACCAAAATTGATGGAGAAATTCGGGACAAATACAATGATTTCTGAAATCTAAACAAAAACTAAGATATCATTGAATGAAATGGAGTACCATGTATATAGAAATTTCTATGTCATCTTTTCCTTATATCACCTTCTAGAAATTGCCTCTTGATCAATATTTTCACGTCGAAATATCTTTTGTATTTTCCACATAATGTCTCATATTTAGACATATAATTCTCTTTTTAGATTTTGAATTATTTTTAGCCAAATTCTGCACCCGTCTCCATACTTGGATCCGTACCCCCAAATCTTAAAATTTTGATCATGAAGGATCTGTTATCTAGATCCGCACCCGAGTCCGAGCAACTTAGATGGCAACGGAAGTTCCAAATAGAAGTTACGCTTCAATGGTTTGAATAGTTTACAATCGGGTATTGTGGACTGGTTTCCATGTGCCCAAAAGAAAATGAAAAAAAGGCCATGAAGAGCTTTTAGACTAAGTTATTCTTAATATCTTGCAGCCCAACATGCTGGTGGTGGATGTTGAGAAGTTTGTGTCACCGCAACCAGGTAATGGTCACCCTAGCTTCCTCCCTTGTCGTTTGGTTTCCAATATAATTGAGTCCAACTCATTGACAGGAAAGTTGACATGAATATTAAACATAAGAGATTATCAATATTCGAGAAACTAAAAGATTTCTCATTTTTTGAATACTTAATACTTTACTGTAATTAGTGAATGTTTCAATTAGTTGAGATGGAAATTTCACTTTCTGAAAAATCATTATAAATATTGTTGAATTTTTTTAATTTTTTTTTGTTGATGAATTTGATAATTACTAAGTTTTATTCACCAAAAAAATGAAAATGGACTTTGGGCAAGAGACAACCTGGCGAACTGGAACATCTTAGTAGTTAGAGGAAAAGAAAGCAAAAGTTATTCCCGTAGTAGCAAGCAAAACGGGAGCGGCCTAAAAGCGGCCCATTTTTTGGCTATACATACAATTTCACAAATGTACTGTCCAAGACTAATTATTTTAGATGTCTCTTCACAATAACTGTGATGGAGAAAATACCAATTCAAATTGAATGGATTGAGAAAAGGCTAACAATAAGAGTCTAGTGCATGGCAGACAACCTTTTCCATCCAAAAGGTGACACCAGTAAATGTTACAGTATTATGCCTTTCTGTGTTGCTTTTGTTCTCTTACCTTTGTTAAGAGGGTCGCTAAACCTTTTCCCTCCCTGAATTTGTAACCTACTTAACCCATTCAGATATCGAATTAAAGTCAATCAAGAAAAAGAAGTTTTTGAAGGCCACTTCCTGTTTGAGTAAGCTGTGAACAGAGGGATGACTATAGCGGCTTTCAAACATTTTTATTCTACCAATATATGATTCTGTGCTAGTGTTGTTGGAAGAAGTCCTGATTCCATGAATGGTAGTGAAGTTAATTTGACTGTATGGAAAGCCTGGAACGTTTCATATGTTTTAACTTTTAAGATCATTATCCACAATGTTGTAAGGTGGTATTAGGCAGTGAGCAAACCGTGCCAGTTAGTCATCTTTGAGAACTTGAACTAGCTGATACACAACGTATTGTTGAGAAATTTTTCTAATATAATCCTTACTGCATAGGTAGGGGATTGAATTGTATTTCAGGAGATGAGCTATAAAAGAAGTGTAAGCTGGCGGTCAGTGTTTATTAAAATGTTTAGTGTGTTGTAGTGGGTGTCTCGACCTAATTAATAATTCAAACTACATAAAAGGGTGAACTTTTTGCTACCATTCAACCCCCCCCCCCTTTCCCCCAAGGATAAAGACAAAGGGAAGTAAAAGCATTAGCACCTCAATGTGCTTGAATGTAGTCTATTTGATGTCTAATACATACAGACAGGATGGGATACCATTAAGTATTTTTCTATTACTGGTGGAGGTGGTTCACAGATTTGAATATTCCATGCTGATAGTTTTCGATGCAACACTTATCATCTTTCATTTGTACAGTACTAATTAAACGCATTTGTGTGTGCAGCGTAACTTGTCTAGATGGAAATATGATATTAGAGTTGTTGAGCTTCTGTTTTTAAAGTGATTGAATTCAATTAGTTATGTTCTGTCACTGCTACATAAGTCTCTTCTTTTTCATTTTGTCAGAAAACTGGTTTTCAGTTGATGCCAAGGAGCCCATTGCTTTTGTGATTTTAGAAGTTCTTGAAGCAGCTGACATGAAGCCATCAGATTTAAATGGTACCTAGAAAATAATCTTACTGTACTTCTGTCAAATCATTAGATATGTATGCCTAAAAGCTGGGTGGTCTTTTTCAGGATTGGCTGATCCATATGTTAAGGGGAACATTGGCCTTTACAGATTCAGGACTAAGACTAAGAAGAAGACATTGACTCCAAAGTGGCGTGAGGAGTTCAAGATTCCAGTCTGTACATGGGAGTCTCCTAACGACATGCTCAATATCGAAGTTCGTGACAAAGACCATTTATATGATGATGCATTGGGGTTCGTCCTGTTCTCTTGGCAATTTAAATACTAAGACTCTTCCCTATAGGTGTATGAGTTATCTATAATTTCCCCTTTTTTTCTTTCGACATCAGTATGTTCTCCAATGGAATATTATTCGAAGCCGACATAAGCAGCTTATTTACTTTTTATTTGTATTTTGTGAACAGAAAATGTTCCATCAATATCTGTGATTTTAGGGATGGCCAGAGGCATGATATGTGGCTGTCTCTTCAGAACATCAAAATGGGGAGATTGCATCTTGCCATAAGTGTTATTGACTGTGCCAAAAAGGTATATGTTTCGCCTGTGCAATTTGTCATGAACACTAAATTGGAATGTTAAGATTTAAGAAGCAAAAGATTTCTCACGTATTATCTTCTTTGCACCTGAAAAATGGTTTACATTACTCATTATTCTATTATGGATGAATTCATTAAACCGAAATAATGGTGCTGAGGAATAGGTACAGTTTATTCTTATAAATAATGACGGAAAATAAGGAAGTACTAAGTTTTCAGCAATTTTCAGGGCGCGGAGCAGTCATATGATAGCGGAAGTGTGGTCAATGAACAGGAAAGCAAATCTGCTGAGGTGGATAAAACTGAAGAAAGCTCCTTCACCACTGAATCAGCTGACAAATCTTCAAAAACTGCAGATAAGTATGAACCTATTAATATTGAAGGGCAGCGGGAGACTGGTATATGGGTACACCAACCAGGGAGTGAAGTAGCACAAGTATGGGAACCAAGAAAGGGAAAGAGCAGGGTTATTGGCGGAGAAGTTCATAGTGAGAATGCTGATTCTAAGGGAAGTCTTAAGTCAACATCAGGCGGCTCCTCTCACTATAATGAAAACAGGCTTGATGAAAGTGTTAATGGAAGTAAGCCGTATTCCCCAGGTCGTTTTCACAGGGGTTTACATAAGATCAGCTCGCTCTTCCGGAGAAGTTCAAGTAAAGAGGATAAGTCGGGCAATCTTGGAGAGCCTATTTCATCTCCACGTGTGAATCTTAGGGCAGTTAATGCTAAGGATATCGCAGTGAAGATTATAGTGGATGACACCATTTTGCCTTCATCATTAACAACAACACCTACAGAAGATGGGAAAGAGAACCGTGCAGGAAATGGGAAAAACCCCACAAAGTGGAGAGTGAGAAACAGGACAAAGAAAATCCTTAAAAACGCTGGCAAATCTGTTGGTGGTGGCATAAAGAAAGTGATGTCCGGGAAGTCATCAGGGAAATCTAAAGAGGAAGTAGAATCATCAGAGACAGAAAGACTGGGCTCTGTAGAATCTGATACTTCTTATGCAGAGTCTCAACGTTCATCAGTTGATTCACCTCCAGTTGTAGCACCTTCAGTTGACAACAGTTCCACAGCCAGCTCCGGTATTGAGAATTCCGACACCACAATAAGAACCAGTGAACTGGTAGATAGTGAAAGCATCAAAGCTCCAGATGAGGTAGCAGGGGACTCAAACGAAAATCATGTTTTCGGTCAGTCTTCAAGTTTTTAAAAAGTCTGAGGTAGACGAATGAGGTAAAGTCTGAATATGTTACAACAGGATGCTTTTCTCAGTTTCCCCCATTGTACAGTCTCTGAATGTATATGTTGTTATGTCCTGCCTGTAATAGCTTCGTGTTGGCTAGATTTAATGTACCTTAAGTTGAAAGTAGATGATTGTTGTTGAAGATGTTGAAAATTTGAGAGTTGTTTATGTTCTTAATGTGTTCTTACATAAAAGAAGCAAAAAGTGTATATTTGATCCAAAAACTCCAGTTGAAAAGTGTAAACCTTTTTTTGGGTGTAAAAGTTGATTTTGCAAGACTGAAGTTTAAAAAAATGGCATGGATGAGCATTTTCTCTAACAACAATGACATAGATAAACCAAACTTTTAATGGAGGATATAAATAAGCCTTTTTAGAAATTTGATGGCATAATTGAGCATTTTCCCTTTTTTTAAATGACTCGAGATTTTGTCCATTATTTCAAATTTAATTAAAAAAATTCTTTCCATTTGGATTGAGTCAAAAAAAAATTTCGTGGCGCACAGTATTTTTTTCTCAATCAAGTTGAATAAAATGCACACATATAGTGTCAGTTGTGTGAGGCCTTTTTGGGCTGCCATTTGTATATTGTGGAGCCCATATTTACTGTTTCATTTCCATACTTTTTCTCTTTCAATTTTAATCTTTTCTTTTACTTTTTTCTTTCTTACTTGCATTTTCTTTTTTTTTGCTTGTCAACTCTTAGTGTAATTTTATTTTAATAGAAAGAAACTTTAGAACTCACCCACGGATATATATATATATATATATATATATATATATCATTTATTTGATGAAAAATTAAAGTAATATATCAGATGATATTATTTTAAAAAAAAATAAATTCGAAGAGATTGAAGATAGTGAAACTAAAATAAATAAATTGAACTCTCGCAAAAAAGTAAAAATTCATATAATCAACCAATTGAGCTACTAAAATTCAATCGGTATTATTTATTACATTTAAATCCATAACTAAAATTCAATCGGTATTATTTATTACATTTAAATCCATAACTAAAATTCAATCGGTATTATTTATTACATTTAAATCTATAACTAAAATTCAATCGGTATTATTTATTACATTTAAATTCATAATTTAATTTTAATTATTTAAATTTTAGTCATTAATTTATTTTTTGAGATTTTCAATTTTAACCACCCAATTCTTAATTATCAAATATGTTTTATTTTTATTATTCTATAACCACTTAATATATTTGAATGCTTTATTACTCTATTATACTAGATCTGAAATGCCCGTGCTATGCACGGGCCCAACAGGTAAGATTTTGAAAAAATAATTACAACTTTTCTCTATCATAGTTTGATTATAATGAACAAATATTGTTGCTATACAAATAAAAGAACATGATACAATATTGCTGAACTATTTTTATAAATACATAAAAGTCCCAGAAGTACAAATACTACGATAAATACATCATTAGAATTTCTCTCATGCTCAATTCACGATGCTCCCTAATAGACAAACACTTGCAAGAGAGCTAGCAGCAAATCTAAAATTGTTATAAGCTTTATTATAGAACTTTATTGTTGCAAACCAGAGACATTATTGAAGTCATACTCAACAGTCATAAGATGACATTCATTTTCAGAATGACTCAGAGATTTCAGTGGTAGTTCAATTTGGTATTTGCTTAGCCCAAACTTCAAAGGGATGTACTCATAGAGGAGTTTACATATTCATAAAATTATGATTTCAATTTTTCATTTGTACTACAATTAACACCTCAACTTGAGGCCTATTCGTATAAGCATAATAATATTTTTAGAAATAACAGAAATATATAGAAAAATTTGAAGTAACTAAAAGTCCAAGAATCTCTTCAAAATAGAAAAATAGAAGTACCTCCATTCCCAAAGCAAGAGCTTCTGAATGACTTGTTTTCTCATTTGCTTTTTTAGCTCTTTCTTCCAACTATTTTCTCTCTGGCTTATAGTCAGAACTATGAATCTGTATCAATGTACTGCAAGATATTTCTTTACCTTAAGTCTTCTCATATCAACAGTTATTATCCTAGTAGTACAAATATATACTCAAAACACATTATATCATTCAAAGTAAACATTAAAAGCTTAACAGAGGTAAAACACTCACTTCGAAGCCTCATTCGTCTTCTTTCTTCTATTTGTAGGTATCATAGAAAAGCTGACATTTTATTATTTTCTCAACACTGTAATGCCTACAAAAAATGTCATGTTTGAAGTAATCAAACACAAAAAAAGTCTCATGCTCCATGAGCTTGTTATTACATGTCATGAAATTAAACTTCCACCCTCCCTTCCATTCGGCAGGGAGAGAATACATTAGTTTATCTTTAAATGAAGGATGTTCGAGTATATTCTAGTGTCTAGCAAATCAACAATCACACCCTCACCATAGTTTAACGTATTTCAGAAGCCTAAATTTTGATGTAATTCAAAAAAACGTGTACAATGAGTTGTCTGTACTCACAATAACCTTTGAGGTCTTATGAAAATAAAGCCTAACTTTTTTTCCAATGTCTTTACTTCATTTGGTGATATTCTAGTGGCATTTCCATAGGAATATATTATGCATGAGGACATATTAGATTAAAGTGTAGGAAGATATTGAATAATGAAAACTCTTCTAGCTTCTAGCTTGCGGCGTGTGGCACTGTTTCCAACAAAAAGTGAGTACTGATGCTAATCATCTATTTTTTTTACGTGACTCTCATGAAAAATATAGATTTCTGAATTTCTCAATTGAGAAAGATGAGCACGGGCTAATATAATTTGTTAAATGAGAATTTACCATGAATAGGATTGCAATTAGGAAAATCAACGACACTATCCATCTGGTATAAATAAGAACTTACCATGAATTGCTTTTATGTTTGTTTAGTCAGTTGATACAGCTATGTAAATCCTTTATTATTTACACTAATGCTTACCTAATATTTACCATACACACACATTCATCACAATAAAAGGTGATCCCTAGTTCAAGTTTATGAGAAGAAAAATGTATATATGTTAGGGAAGAAAGTGGACTTAACATGCTTGTGTACGCATTGAATATTCAAACTGGACCACATCTCCACCTTCCGTATCTGAACTTCATTAATACATAATACCATTTAAACCTCGGATTATATTCAGTTCATATTTACCTCTGCTAAATCTTTCACATATGATAAAGAATGAATAGATATCATATTTTTATCAAATAGTAGAAAGCACTGAGACAATAGTCATTAACATTCAAAAGACGTGACATTATCGATTCAAGCCTTCAAAATTTTCATTACGAAATTAGCATAAAAGCGCAAGATATAGAAAGCAAAGCAACAATCAAAAGAGGCAAAAATAAGCTACTTACCAAGCACCCCAGAGCCACCATGATCACTATAGAACATGTAAATATGATCATTTGGATCACTATTCCCATCTTTCTGGTACCTAGTAAGAGCAGTTTGGTTACCAAAGAGAACAGCTAAAAAGTTATCCACATTAACATCATCTCTAGTGTAATCCTGCCTCAAGAGACAGGAATATAGTTTAGTTATATACTAAACGATGACGGAAAACATCTGCCTTAGGAACTCCTTTGTAAACATCCTCACCAGCAGGATTATTAATGATCACTTGTAAGCAATGCCATCATATATGAAAGACAATACTATTTTCATCCTTGAGACCACCTTTTATTAACAGCTGACATGAATCACATACATCATCCTGATATAAAAGCATAGGTCGATAAGGCTTATCAGTACGCATAAGAAAAAAGAAAAAATAATTAAAAAAACTCTATAATAGTTAATATATCAAAAAGAATGAAAATGTTGTCTTAGCTAAACTTTTTACAAACTGATTTGTTTCTAACTGGTTGGTTGTCTTAATTGATTAGTTTCACAAGCATGGAAAGCTACCAACAAGCTTATATTTGGTAAAATCGTAGTGCAAAATAAATCACCGACATTATTGAATTCATCTATAGTTAGAAAAAAAGAAAAATCACACACAATAATGAACCAGATGCAGCTACCAAATACATATCTTCAAATTCCAACATTACTAAAACGGACTCATGAACAAAACAACTACAACTCTCCTAAAACTATTTAATATTACTTTCCAGTAATTAGTAGAACTCTTAAAATAGGGAGAACTTCTATTTGATAAGGCAAAAGACAGCAACATGGCTTTTTAATTTGAAGGAACATATCTTTAAAAAGAACAAAAAATAAATCATATAAGCTAACTTGTTAGTGAAAAGTTTTGATGATAATCAACTTAACTATTTCAGGACAAATCAAAAAGGAAAGAATCAAATAAGAAGAAGATTCTCACAGCAAGATTGAAGATCATCAATTAGAAGATCATTAATCAAGGAGGCTGAAATCTGAAATGCACAAATCATGGAAGATTGCAAATCAAGGAAGATCACAAACCAGCTGTCAATAAATAAGAAAAGTGTAAGATCTTGATTAGATCTCCAATGGCCATATTAAATCAAGGAAGCTGCAAGAATGAATCAATCAAGAAAGGAAGGAATCTCCAAATGACTACATACAATTCAAGGAAGCTGCAAGAATGAATCAAACAAGAAAGGAAGGGATCTCCAACGGCTATATACAATCAAGAAAGCTACTGAAGTAGAGACATAAGGAATGGATCACAAACGGCTGTCTGCAAGCTATTAAGGCTAAATCAATGAATATGCCTTAATTTTTATTCTTGGAAAATAAGGATATCTTGCCTTTTTTCCAAGGATTAAATCTCTTGGGTTGCCATCTCTTCATAGGACCAGATTCAAGTCTCGACCCTATATAAAGACATCACACTGCAAGTGGAAAGATTGTACAACGAGTCTGAATCATCTCACCGCTCCCTACTCTACTTTTGATAAGCATTAGTTCTACTGTGTAAACAAAAAAAAAAAAAAGAGATAAAAATTGTTGGTAAGGGATTGTATCAAAATAGAAGAGTGAAAAGAAAGAGAGTTTAAACTGTAAAGTTACACTCAACTTTGTACTCTCATCAAAAGTTACCAAGGCTAGAATAGAATACCCTTGTAACCCAAGGGGACTGGACGTAAGATTCACATTGGATCTCAACCAGTATAAAAATTATTGTGTCAAGTTTACTTTACACATTTTTGATTCCATTCATACTTGTCTGCAA